AGTAAAATGTCTGCATTTTCAAGTTCACGTTGACGTCACGTGTGAATGTTGCTGGATTTATTCTTCTCGTGTATTTGGGGTGCTTAAAGAGAAAAGTGTTTGAGAAGCTTAGCTTGAAAGGAGTGGGGTTTGGCATCCGCTGGGGTTATGTTTACAAATCTGTGAATTGTTTGATTGACTGTTTTGAAAATAATTCCCATTACTTTTCTTTAGCAGGAGAAAATAGTAAGTTAATAAACTTGATTGAATATTATTTTCTTGAAACATGCCTTCGTTTCATAGATGTCTTTGAGTTCTGGGACTTGGTCTAGCAGCATACTAGTGTCCCTTCTAGAAAAGCAGCTTCAGAGTGACTGTCCGTGATCTTGTGTCACTGACCACGGTTTTTTAATTGTTTTGCCTCTGAGATCTTGTACAAGATGTCCTATGAGAGCATCAATAAGCAAATTGCTGTTAGTCCCCACAGACACTTATGCATTAGTTGTGTTTTGTCATCCGAGTGTTTAGTGGTGCATGCCCAGTCCCAGGAGAGGTAAGTGCAGTATCTGATGCTATTCTGTCATTAATTTGACTTAGTCCTGAGTTCTTAGCTTCTTTCCCTAAAAATAAAGAAAAAATACAAATACTAAGTTTTATCTCATCTTCTCAGCCTCATCTCTTTTGCCTGTGCAGCAAATGTAATTATAATTGAAATGTTCTAAGTATTGTATTTATTGGAGAAATCTCTTTGGCCATTTCTTTTATTTTATTTAATTAATTTATTCATTTGTGCTTTGGGAAGATGATTAGTCACATTTTAAAAACTGCTTTTATTGTGTAACCTCTCTGAAACATGAAATATAAAAATAACTATTAATAAGATTTACTAGAAAGTTCTCATATTAATTTGTATTGTGGTCAAATAGCTAACATGGTTGCAGGCCTGGTTGGTATGCTGATCAACTGACTAGTTGAGTTGAGCTTTAGAAATCCATCAATTTGAAAACGTTCCAGTTCTTATTAAAAGTTGTATTAGAGTAATTATTGCCATCTTCAAAGGAGCTGAAAACACTCTACTAGCGTCCCTTTGATCTGAGTGTAAGTAACCGCTGTTACTCAGGAAAATGGTCTTCCCTGCTCTTGTTGGTAGACATTATACTAACTTACTATTGGTTTACTAAGTCAGCAATCCTGGCTTTTAAAATCGTTATCAAGCCCTGGGTGTCACATCACTAAGCATCCAGATGGTTACTATGCACCACCACACCACAGATGACATGTCAGGCGGAAGGACTGAAAATGTCAGAGAGATATGGTTCCTTCCAGGGGCTTCCAGCAGCAAGGCCGGGCAGCCTTGGGCTGAGGCTGGGTCTAGAGAAAGCAGCTGTTGGCACATTTGTGACGTAGAGTATTGGCACACTCAATGCTTTTAACCCTCTTCTGATGTTAGATAAAAACATGAACTTTTTTGAGTAGTTAAGTAGGTTGTATCTGGACTCAGGTGGTAGGCCATTGGTCTGGAAAGATAAACTGAATAAAATGTGGTGGGCTTGGAAACCTAGGCTAAGGAATGAGTCCTCATTCAGGAGGGATTTCAAGGTCAGAAGATTTTTTTTTTTGACAGCCGAATCATGAAGTTAGACTTGTATCTGAGATACTGCCATAGCCATTGGGACCTCAGCTAGATGGATTAAGACAGGGTCAGTAGCGTGGCCATGGCTGAGGCATAATAGTTTGCCGTTTCTTTAGAATTTGAAAATACAAAAAAAAAAAAAAAATTGAGGTTTTTGCCTAAAAACTTCGATATGTTAGTATTAAGACATTTTATCAGTTTAAAATATTTTTAAACATATTAAGTTAAAATGCTTTTTATCGGTTTAAAAGTTACTTTAAAATTCTGTGCCTCCCCCATACTTATATTTCTTAAATTCTGGAGTTTCAGTTTATACAGAATCCCTTTTTAGTATGAACATGTTCGAGTTTATTTTCTACCTGATTAAAAACACCATTCTCCTTAACCTGTCAGCAGCTCAGTTGAGCAGTCAGACCGCATTATTCGATATCTTGTCTGACATGAGGACAGCAGTCCAGAGAGAAAGATATCACAAATTGGTGCCACACTTCAATAAATAGAGACATTTTATTTTGCACCAAGCTAATTCAATCCAGTTCAGTTAACTCTTTTTTCCCCCTGTAAGGACAGATCAAAAAAGGCAATCATGAATGACTGAGTTGGTCATGTGTTTGACACATCAGTGTGTGTACACAAAGCAGACCACAAGGGAGGGCTCGGCCTTCGGGTTTCAGACAATACCCAGTGTGGGAGCCTTGCTCGGTGCAGGGTGCAGAATGGGGACCTCACATGTACGCTCAGGTACAGAGGGCGGGGGCTGGGGCCAGCGCCCTGCACAGATCCTCACACTCCTCACGATACAGAGCATTCCTGCGAACCCTCAGCCCTTTCTCAGGTGGTCGTTGAGTTTCATTTTAGCTTCCAGAGTCAAAATTACTACTGTATATTGTTTTGTGATTTTGATAAAGTCTTTGCTCTAAATATGTTTCTTGAAAGCCCTTATGATACTGTAACCAGGCTTCTGTTATTTCTTAGTTCATTTCTTCCTGAGACAGATACTAGAATATGCAGGCATAATAGTACTCATTCTCAGGGTTGGAAGGGGTAGGTTATAGCCCCAAACATGAAAAGTGAAACCCCATGCATGAAACAGGTCCTCCTTCCCAGATGCTGTGAAAGAATGAGTCCCTGACACCTCCTAAGAATTTTGGGGTATTCTGCCTCTGCTTCCTGTGAATGAGGTCCCCATGATGAGGTCAGGTTGGCTAGTTCATCCAGGAAGCCTGTGATGGGCTTCAGCAGTGTAGTCAATGATCACCGAGACCTCTACAGAAAATGTGCCTAGTGCTGGTGTCTCAGTTAGGACAGATCCAGAGCCAGGTTCTACCAGTTACCAAGGAAGGACCTCAGGCAGGTCACCTGACATCTCTGTGACTCTCCCTCATTTGGAAAGTAAAGTTATGGGTGATACAAGCTCGGAGTCTGTGACCTCTTTGATTTTCATGAAGATAGCTGAGTTCGTTTTGGTGGAGTTTAAAATAATGTCTGATGCAGATTAAGTGCCTTAGATGTTTAGGAAATTATTTATGGGACATGTTCTGTTTCCCAGTTACCCATTTTATCTTCACAACAGACTTACTTGGGAGATACTTTTGCTATCCTGGTTTTATAGATGAAGGAACCAAGACACAAAGTTAAGTTGTTCAGGGCCATACAGTGGCAAGTATAGGGCAGAGTGCAGTTTGAGTTCACACCACCTGGCTCCTGGGCCCTGACCCATCTCTACTCTTGAGCACCCCATGTCCTGTCAGCCTGAGTGTAAATTATGCTGTCCTTGAGACTGTCACCAATGGAAAGTGGGGTGGCGCAGCGTGTTTCTTCCTTCATCAGAAAGCATGCCATGAGGTAGTGGAGCAAGGAGAGGTTAGTCCCTCTGGACGCTTCATCCCACTAGCTCGGATTGAGAATTGGAGACAGCAGAGATCATGCACCAGCAGCAGCTACCACTGCACGACACTGTAGTGTGGGGGACTCTGATGATGTCCTCTTGGACTTCCTATTTGTCATGGTTCTTTTCAGCCACTCTCGCCATTCTCTTGAGACATTGCTGGCTCAGTGAGACTACTATAACACTGTGCATGCACCATGGAAATGGTGACATCCGGGAATGGGAACATGGGAAATGTGTGAGCCACAGAAGTCTGTCAGTGGTGGATTGCTGGTGCTTAATGTGACTCACTCTGTCCACCGGTCACCCAGCTCCACTGAAGTGCTGAGCTCTTCCTCAGGAGCATTACCTGGGGAAGGTCAGCCAGCTCTTAGGACCTAGCTGTGCAAATCTCAGCCATAACTAGCCAACCCTTCGCTATGTGGGAAACTCTCTTGATGTGACTGTATGCACACACATGCCTTGTAGGGTTTACAGTGTGGGACATTATGTGTAATTACGGATGTGTTCCAGACAGTGTTTCCAGTGGCCACACTTCCTGTCACAGTCCAGAGTTTTAAAAGTGAATCCCTTAAGTCTTCAGAGAATTCCAGTTATTTTGATGATATTATGTAGATAATGAAGACATACCTATCTTACAGCTAAGTCTGTGTGTGTAATAAAAAAAAAACAAACAAACAAACCCTGGGACAGTGCATGCTTTGTAGCTGTTCTGGAGCTAATACCCTTAAGTGCTGGGTACAGTTTAACGTGTAAGAGCACTGATGAAACATCTACTCATCGGGTGGCTTTGAAGTTGAGCTGCTCTGGGTTGTTGTTGTCCCTTCCTAATGCCGTATTTCAAAGGAGAAGATGGTTGTGGCATTCGGCTGTGATGTCTTCTTATTCTCCAAATGGAAGAAATCTGTTTCATTTTGGTCTGGTTTTGACTTTAAATTTTGAAATCCAGCTCCCTTGAAATCACCTTGCAATCACATCAATGACAAGAGTGGTCTCTGCCGCTCTGTATTCTTTCTCGTCCACAGGATGGTGTTTGAAAACTAAAATTTCCAGAACATCTAGCATTTTAAAGAGTGCCTTAACTCATTCTGTAACCTTTCCAAACCCGAGTTTACTTATTTCTCCACAATTATCAGAAGGGCTGGGGCATGTAAATGTAAGATGAGCAATATATTGTAAGAGCTGCTTTTCTAAAATATCTTGCTGAATAAAGTCACTATGCTTAAAGATATTTAGAAACTGTATTTTAAGATGTTTGGTTCCTCAATTCTAATTATAACTGAAGAGATTTTTTTTTCAGAGTTTAAAATTGCAGATGGTTATAGAATGATGAATAAATACTATTTTGTCTCTACATCTTGGATTAAATTTCACTCACCCAAGGTAGGACTTTAGACATTTGTGTTGCAATGTGGTTTAACTCTTTTGTATTTTAACCATTTTGTATCCCATGTGGACTGTGTCACACTTTTAACATTTATTTTATGTTTTATTACTTAGTTTTCATGTGAATCCGACAAGCAGTGAAGACCTCAGGAAAATCCCGGTAAGTCACTAAGGGGTTGGAGAATTACCAGAGAGCAAGCCTGGCTTCTCCACCACATATTCCTAAGAATGCCTTTGTCTCTTTGAGCATCTCAGTGGCAGAAGTATTGTAGATCAATGTGGTAATGTGGGGAGAAAGAAGGAAAGTGAAATTGAGGCTTTGCCTTTAATACACAAGAGGGCGTGGCTTCTGTCTGTGATCAGAAAAAATTCAAGCAGATTTGGCTGAAGTGTGTCTGGAATATACATGCTTTTTTACAGCCTTGTGACGTTAAAATGAAAGCTAGATGTCAGAGTCAGTAGTGGTGAAAGACGACCAGTGGTTTGTGTTGTCCGGACAAGGATTGAATGAAGAGCAAAACCGATTGCCAACCCCCACCAATAGGAAAAGCAGCTTGGTAAGACACTGCATCAACCAGGAAAGGATTTGGAAGAGCAGATACCTTAGGACACTTGTTTTCCAAGTCAGAACAAAACCAGATCTATCCAAGGATTGGCAGTGACCAGTCAAATGGTCTGGCATAGTTTGCAAGGATTGTTGAGATAGCTTAACCTCATTTTATTATTTAAAGTCCAGAATTGGCTATGAGAGTTCCAGAATTGGCTATGAGAGTTCCATTACTTCTACAGTGCCTTCTAAATATGCTAACATAGAGAATAAGTCACTTTATAAAAATAGGGGCAAATGTTCTTGGGAGAGAACTCCAGTCTTACTGAATAACAGAGATAGCCTTCATTTCAGGAGGCTGGTCGTTTCTCTTTCAACCATCTGTCCTTAATGTGTGTGATCCAGATGTATAAGAAGCTTTTTAAGCAGTCACATACCAAAATTTTCTAAGATATGATTTGACTAAAGGAAGTCAAGGCGGGGTTATAGTTTGTTTTCTAAACCATTCTATGTGCTGTTGTCTGTCTTGAGAATGGTAGGAAGCAGCATTGTGAATGCGCAGGGCTTTGCATGCTGTTTTTGCTGTTTTTTGTAAATGATTTGTAAGTTTTGATGTTTCATAAATACTCGTCTTTATAATATGGCAGTCTGGCAGGCAGTGTCAGAATATATGAAGTTAGCCTTTGATCAGATAGTAAAATGAATTCTATCAGCCCCGTTACTTAATCTCAAACAAAACGCAACATCAAAAAAATTGATTTAATATGTGGCTATTGTTTATTAAGTAACCTTAATTACAATTTCTGTGCTTGTAAACGTACTTTACCAAATCTTGTAATTTATTGCTGTAAAAGCATCCTCAGAATTCTTTAAAGAAATAAAATGTGAAAATTGTTTTAGTTCAAGGATTTAAAGGTGATAAAAGAATCCTTGATGTGTGATTATTTTTCTCTGGAATACTAACTATTCAGAATGACAGTTAAAGGATTACTAGGTGTTGTTAATTTACGGCAAGATACAATTAAGAGGAGAAAGCTCATCCTCACACAGACTGTTCTTTAGGAAAAGTATGTGAACAATTTTTATGTTGAGGCGTGTAAGATGTTTGAAGTAATTTACATGAAGTTATCCAGTAATAGCCATCCGGCGCGTCATCCTCTCCCCTCTGCACGCAGTGCTGTGTAATTAAGTTTGTATGTCGCCTGTGCCGCTGCCAACGCCTGCCTGTGGAGGCGCGGTGTTTAAGCAGGAGCAGTAGCCAGTTGAAAGGGCAGTGCAGCTCTTTAAGGCCTAATTAAGAGCTGAAAGGGAGATGAAGGGAGGAGGACAAAAGATGTGAACGTAGCTGAGATGATATTCCCAGAGCAAAGTTCCTCATTAGAACAATAATGAGATGATCAGAGAATGCCAGGCCTCGTCCTCTCCCTCTCTCTCCTCTGGTCGCCTTGCATGTCAGTTAGGACCCCACCAATATTTGGTTACCAGGACAACCTTTCTTTAAATCTTCAGTTATTTTGAGTCCTGATAATGTGCTTTTGTCTAAATTTAAATATTGTAAAAAAATACATATTTTCTAATTTAAAAGGCTAGATTATGGGTAAAGCAAAAATAACTTGCTAATAATTGCCATGGTCTTCTGTTCAACTGTTATTTAAAATTCTAACAAAAAAGAATTCCTATAATAATTCTGTTATTCTCTCATCTGATCTCCATTTCCATATATTGGTGTGGATATTTTATTTTTAGCTGAGATGGACTAGGAATGAGGAAGGCTTGGTTGTGTGAGGAAAGAGAAAAGAAAATTTACATTGCATTTCAGACTAGGACGACATCTTAAGAACATATGTGCTGTCTTTCTGAAGTGTGCGGGAAGAACACACGGGGTGCGTAGGCTAGCCCTGGCTGCATAGGCTCGCCCTGGCTGCTTTGCTCCTTGGCAGCCGAGAGGCTGGGGCTTTCAGCTTTCCCTGAATAGTAGTAGTAAACATATCCTTTGGAGAAACAACTTTTGCATTTGCTAGAGAGTTTTCTTCTTTATAAGCAAGCTAATTTTTATATCCAGAAAACAAAACATCTTAACATTCTATTCTTTATATTAGTTAATAATAATCTTTATTATTTTCTTTGAAGTTATAATCAGGGATATATCTATATTTATTGAGTACTATGTCAGTTTAAAAATTGCATGCCTAAAATTAGAACGTTTGCACGGTTCTCAAATATTGAGTAAAATCTGGAATCAAGCCTGAAGCTGTTTTTAATTATTGTATCTTCTTTTCCAGAATATAGCTTATAATACATGTGTTTCTAAGATGTTTTCCTGTTCCGAAACTCAGTGCTGAAATTTGGGGTAAATTTTCACCTAAAAAGACAAAGGCAAATTTTAGAAAAGAACAGAAATGTGTTTCTAGGGGCGGGACAGGGAGGGAGACAAATAACATGTGTGTGTATTCTTAATTAGGGCTCTGAAGTGTTGAACAATATTCTGAAATACTAGATTATCTTGAGAGAGTAAGATGGTTTGCATTATGCCACTGATTTAGACTACTTATGTGAAAATGGGAATTTTTTTGCATGTCATTCATCTTCAGAGTCTTAGAGAAATATTGAAAAAATTAACTACATTAGCTAGTATACTGATACAGTATTAAATGTAGACATGAGAGTGATTTTAAAGTATATTCTGTCACTTGGCAGTTTGAAGAAATCAGTTCATTTATATGTAATTTCATGAAGATTAGAGAGTTAAACATGCTATTATATTAAATTCATTAAAAAATAAAGCAGCCAATCAGTAACAGCTTGTTTAAATAATTTCATTAAGCCCCATGGTTCTCATAAGAAGTACTATTTTTAAGTAAATGTTTTATCATAAAAATGAAATCACATTAGTTGGACTTTATTATTTTAAAAAAATGTAGTTCAGAATAATCACTTGGTAGGTGACAAAATTCCGGAGTTGAAAGGGGTTGGAAGAGAAGTGTCGTTTATCAGATCAGGAATGTGAGGCCCAGCTTGATTTCTGCTTCATATTACTTAGGCTGAAGCACAAAATTTAACTTATATTTGACAAATTTAAAACCGGTATACGTTGTCTTTATTATAGAAAAATGCTTAATATAATGTGAATGTTTTATGAGAATATAGTTGTTAAATTTATAATATGCCTTCAAACTACTGATGACCAGTTAATTATATATACTCGTGTGTGTGTGTGTGTGTGTGTGTGTGTGTGTGTGTGTGTGTTTTTATCAGAGAAGAGACTAGGAAGCCAGCACTTAACTCTAGAATTGTCCCTAATGGGTTAAGAGCAACATTTGAAAGGTTTTAGGGGCAAAGATAATGTTAACTTGGTTTCATCTCTTCTATTTGCTGGTGCAGAGCACATTGTTTGAAATATATCTTAAGAGAATTCAAATTCACTTGCCTTAAATCTCCTCTCCAGTATTTCAGTAGCTCTGGAACTGACCCGTGCTCCCCTAGATGATCTCACTGGTGCCATTTATTTCTGTAGAGCACAGCCCCGACATATCGTTTCTACCTATATGTGATCTTAGCCTAAAGACCCAGAAGCGATTTCTGCTTAGAACCCTTCACTGGTTCCTTCTTTCCTAGAAAGTCTCCACGTCCTCAGTGCTGGCCTTGCACTCCTGGGTGGTGCCAGCCTCTCCTTTTGTACCTCATTTTCTGGCTGTGCTTTCCCTGGCCTTCAGTGGGCCACTGGACCTTGAGTCTTGTCTGCTCATTGTCCGAGTTGACCCCACTGCTCATGTCTGCCTGCAGAGTCGGGGATACAGTTTGTCACCCCCCCCCCTGCAAAAAAGCCCAAGGCCTGGACTGTGAGAGAGGATTTTCAGCTTGAAATTTTGTGTGTCAGGGAGAAAGAAAGGATCAAGCTTAGGTGACCCAGGTATCACACCAGCTTCTGTCCTGAGGCTGTGAGGTGGGAGCTTATAGTAAAGAGTCCAACCTTGGCTTTAATGATAGAAAGTTTGGGACAGTAAAACAAAGTAGATACTGAAAATGGAAAAGACACTTAATTTTTGTCAAAAAAGGGTCTTTCTGCGTTCCACAATCCTTGTTCCTGCCCTCCACTGAATGGATTATTTTAGTCCTGCCTTAAGAGCAAGAAAACCAATTTCCTCAATATTTTAGTTGATTTTTCTTAAAATCAAATGGATATGTTTTAAACAAAAGTGATAGAAAACACTTTTTAAGTTGTTGGGTTTAGTAATAGAACTGTGTTTTAAAGGCATAAAATAGCTACTTTACATCCCACATTTTACATAATGAAAACTTAAATCCCATGCCTGGGTGATGGGGGTGGTGCACGTGCAGGTTGGGAATTGAGGACAGCATTAAGGTCTCATCTGCTGAGCAGTTTTCTTTAGCTTTTGACATCATACTACTCTTAGAATCCTTTCTAATAAGAGTGAGTTGAAGCAAAACCCTTTGTTGGTTATATTTATGCTTTTGTTTCATTTTTCTTAGCTACTAGATGAAGGTCAGCCAAGTGAGTGCAATGAGAGGGAGGGTAGCTAACCCAGACATAACTAGTAACATGGTTGTAGTTGAACTCCGAGCTTCCTAATAACAGGGCAAAAAAGGGAAATACATGTAAAGCAAATAGATATTGTGTGGGGGAGGAAGAGATGAATCCATGACTCAAGGAAGGAGAGACTCCCTGTCAGTTAAGACAGTGACTGCTCCCATGGGTGCTCACTGATTCAGTTCCAGCTGCCTTCAACCTTCCTCTCAAACGAGAGAAGCAGGTTGGCATCGCTGCTTCTCAAAGCCACCATCAGAAAGCTGAGGCAGAGGTGTAAGGCTGAGTTCAGTGGACGCTACCTGCGAGGACAGTGTCCACGAGCGCAGTTTTAGTGTTCTCCCACCGGATTCCTGCTGCTGTTTCATTTTAACATATTTTAGTCATGTTAGCTACCTTGTGGTATGACGAAGAAGGCATATGCTATCCCCCACCTGCTTTGGTGTGCTGGGATGGCCATGCCTTCTACATCCTGTAAGTGCTCTACCACTGTGTCGCCCACCCCTTGGCATTCCTCTCCTGAGTTAGTCCTAAATTCTCTGCTCAGTCTCTGGTGTAAAATGGGGTTTCAGATGCAGAGTTAGGATCAGGACTCTGATCCATCTGCCCTTGTTCCTGTCTGAGACTGGCCAGGCCATCTAGGAACGGTCTCCCTGGACCTACCCAAGGCTGGAGGGAACGTTCATCAACCGAAGCAAAACCAGAAGTCCAAGTTCTGAGTAGTTCTTAAAGTCTGTCTCCACTGTCCTGCTTGCTAAAGTGAGTCTGCATCTCCTTCCAGGACAGCAACCCTTTCGATGCCACAGCAGGGTATCGGAGTCTGACCTATGACGAGGTGCTGCAGGAGCTGGTGAAGCACAAAGAACTCCTTCGGAGGAAGGACACCCACATCCGGGAGCTGGAGGACTACATCGACAACCTCCTTGTCAGGGTGATGGAGGAAACCCCCAGCATCCTCCGAGTGCCCTATGAGCCGTCTAGGAGAGCTGGCAAGTTTGCCAATAGCTAGTGGAGCCGATGGCGCCGTGTCTGTCATTAGGAAGTGAGAGGGAGAGGGTAGGAAGGAAGAGAGGGGAATGCAGTACTGGAAGGAGACCACACCATCAGGTTTCATTTCATACCCTCCTTCATTGGGAAAAACCGTCTGACCTGTCAGAATTGACAGGAACTATCAAGAGTGACCTTTGAAGTGAGCCAAAGACTCTGATCGCTTAAGGTGAACATGGGCCAGTGTCTCGGTGAGTAACAGCTCTGTGGCATTCACTTGGGTGCTGGTGCTGGAACCCAGTCTGCCATAGGCCCAGAAATGCCTTTAGCAGCCCACGAGTTATTCCTCAGGAATAGATTCCATATAGCAGAATTGAGACTGGTTGGATTCTCAGAGGTCAGTGTGTAGACATACTTAGCGTCAAGAATACTGCTCTTTACAAACACTACTGAAAAAATGGTTCCTATTTTATATACACGTATCCGTACGTGAATAGATATGTTCATGTGTCTTTGTATATAAAGTACATGCATATACCTCATACACATGTGTGTTTTTAGAACATTTCAAAACAAGTGGTCGCCTCTAAGGTTAGGATAGCACTTTTAGTCTAAATGCGCTTTTGCAGTATCCACACAAGACTGGTCATTGGCAGGACTATCTCAGCTCTGTGGTGACTGCTTCAGACCACTCCTGACTCAACCTGATTTCAAAGTGAGTCGCTGTGTCTAATTCCAGCATTCAGCTTTAGCGCCTGTCCCCCAAAGTGACGATCTAAGGTCTTTTTTCAAGGACTGACCAGGTCTGAGTCTGGACTCACTTGACAGGAGCGTCAGTGTCTTTCCGGCAGTGCTCACCTGCTCTGTGTTTTCTATACAACAAGAGCAGAGGGTAAGCGGCACCCTCTGTTTGTTCTGCTGGGTTTTGCCTTTGAATCACTAGCAAAGAAAGTACGTTTGGGGGTAGGCGGTCATCTGGTGCCCGATCACCCAAAGTAACGCACAGATTCTAGGAATGGAAAATTAGTCTGGGTTTCAAGTTTCATCAGTAATAGAACAGATGGTCGCCTTTGAGCCTTGACTCAGTGTGGCAGCGAGCACTGGGGAGAAGCCCTTCACTGCCGAGAGGGTGCGTGGTGCTTTAGGAACTTATTTGCCACTGAATTTATGGGATCTTTTTTAAGCCCATCTCCCCAGAACATCAGTTCCTCCATGGATTAGTTTTATGTTTGTACAAAACTATTTTGAAATTCAAAGTGAACAACAAGTTGAAAGTGTTGCTGATCTGATCTTTCAACCTTGAAAATCCAAAACACTGAAACCCAGTCTGTGTCTAAAGTGAAAATGAAAAGATCACCTGCATATGGAGACTTGATCAATCCCTAATCCTCTAGTGGGTTAATGTTTCCTGATATTTATCTCTAGTCAGACTTCACTCAAACAAAAACAGAAATAATAGTTTTGCTTATTTTAATATTTTTTAGTCACAGAACTTGGTCAAGCTTATGTTCATAAATGTGTTACCTGTTTTTTTCTGAGTTTCTGTGTTTTAACATGCATTTTTAAGTGGTGAGATTTGTGTCCCAAATGCACCCTTAAATACCTTTCTAAAATTTAAAAATGGAGAAGGAAAAAAATAGTCATTTTAAAATCAAAATTTCCCTTCACTTATAATTAAACATATTCTGTAATAAACTTAAAAATCTAGTATAGGATCTGATTTTCCGGTTGGAAGTCTCAGTGACTATTATTTTTAAATGGTGCCATTTTAAATTAACTTCTGGTAAATATGAAATTCTTAGCAAATTTTTATCTTGGTATTGTTGAGACTCAAACATTTGAGCACCCTAGTCCGTGTGTTTTCAGTATTATGACAGGTATCTGCAGGTACAGTTGTATACGTTAGCCAGATCTGTTCTTTGTAGAATGAACCTGAGCTGTTTTGTCCTGGGAATACATTTTCCATAAATAAACCTCACTAAAGAGCATGGTTCAAATACTGTTGCTCTTTTTAATGAGAAGTTTGTTTATAAGGAGCAGTTCTTTGCCTCTATAAAAATTGATAGTAGACACCTCCTTTTATGAGTGATTGGCTGTACTGAACCAGTGTTTTGTCTTCAGAGTCCGAGACAAGGCTTTGTCCAGTGGTAGTCTTGTAGCCAGTGAGGTTTATCCAAGGTACAGATACTGCTGCCTGAAAACAAAATATAAGACAAATGTATTTAAAACTAAATCTGCATTTACTGCTTTAGAAAATGTGGTGTTGCAGGTTTTGAGAATTTTTCCTCATGACCCAGAACACATATTTTTATCATCAGTCCACATAACAAACTTAAAGCTCCCAAGTAAATTACAGTGTGTCCTTTGTTTGAGCAGAAATGCAAACCTGGGTGTCTGCAGTTTCCAACATTGTAAGGAAAAAAGCCAGGAAGATCATCTAGGCTTATTTTTCCAAAATTTATTGCAAAATATTTAATGATTTACTTTTCTGGTAACTTGAAGTGGAAGCGAAATTTCTGTGCTCACTAAATAATGCACGGCACAATCTATTTATAAGGAAATTATACTTCTGTTTTTAATGCCTAAAAAATCCACGCTCAAAACATTCCCACCTACAGCAGTTTTTAAAATCACAGAATCAATACTTATCTCAAGCCTGATTTAAGTGAACATACGTACTTGTGTTACATAATTAAACTTTCTGCTCGCTCTCTTTAAATAAAACAGTGTTGTTTTACAACCAGTCTCCTCCCAGTCCTAACACTCAGCTTTGACAGTGTTGCCCACGCCATCCAGCCGTAGGGCTTCAGTTTTCATTTATTGGGCACCAAGGTCATTACTTAGACTTGTATATAAAATATCGTGTAACCTGTTTGTAAGTGTTGGAAGTATTGCTTCTTGCTGCTGTGTTCTGCATTGAACCTTGTTTTGCCTTCCTCCCACCAATGTAGTATTCATAGATTATACTTAACTATGTGTATTGCTTTTGGCAGTAAATCAAGATTTAGTTGTAATTTTCCAGCTGTGAAAATGTTGCCTTGCATTTAAAAGGGTTTCATGAATAGAAACCTAAGTAAAACAGAGCTCATTAGTGACAGACCTGCTTTTCCATATCTCCCCTTTGCCATGTCCCCCCACGCCTGCCTCCTCCTGCCTCCCACCCCTATATGGGTACTTATTCTTTAACAAGGAGAATCTTTGAAAAAGGGGAAAGAAAAACGTGCTGTCTCTAAGTATCTACAGTAACTGCCACACTAAAGCCTTTCTTTTCCTCTGTAGTTGTTTTCCTCTAAAACATAAAGCAGCCCACCTCGGATTTGTAAAACAAGCTGGAACTCTTTGAAGACCACGTCCCCATCTGTCCTGTGTGTATGTCCACGAATGTGAAGCATGCCCAGTCCTTTGAGCTCTCTGCAGCAGAGGGAAAGGATTGTGCTGCAGGCTCGTGGTGGTATTGGAAAGGGTCTGTCAGCACGCATTGGAAGCCCACATTTTCACAGATTTATAACTTTCGTAATCCAGACATAGTCCTTGGCAGTATTTAATATGCAATAGGTAGCACCTTAACTAATTAATCTGCATATGAAGGGCTTTCTGATGCGTTTAATAAGACATGTAGAAACTCCTCAAGCATTAAACTAAAGTTGACATTTTATTTCATTTACTTTTCTCTGTCAAAAAAAAAAACAAACTCTTATAATGGAATTGAAGCCTGTTGATGGTACATTTGGTCCCATTAATTCCTGAAGCTTCCAGGTGGTTGATTTGTGAGGTACAAAAAAAAAAAAAAAAAATGCTGCAGATTCAGAAATGTATATACTTAGCAAGTGTTTGAGTGATGTAAGCATTATTTATAATTGAAGAATATTGCCCTTACCTTCCTAAGTCAATGCTTAGTAACTTGTATACACTTTGCAGGTACAAACACCGAAGTATGTAAACATTGTATAATGTGACCATTGTATAATTTATGTAATCTGATGCATGAATCCAAATTTTATATATGATTATTGATTTGTTATAGTTGATTAAAGTGTTTAAACTTAATCCAGTTGTCAGAATTTCTTGCTGGCCAATAGAACTGTTACCATTATGTGTTTTTATATATTTTTTATTATTTTTATTTTATGTGTACAAGTGTATTGTCTGCATATGAGCAAGTCTTCATTGTCTCTTAATAATGAGTCCATGGTGTGTTGGGGCAAGTGTTCTGTAAGGCCTGCCTCTCCGAGACTGTGGATCCCAAGAGTAGACTTTCATTTTTATTGTTTTAGTGTGTGTGTGCTTGTTGAGGGGGTATACATGTGCCACAGCATGCATGTACAGGTCAGGGGACAACCTTGGGTGTCATTCCTTGCTTCCCACTTTGTTTGAGACAGGGTCTCTTTTTTATGTATATTTTATTGAGTTATTATGCATTTCATACAATAAATCTGAATTATATTTAGAACCCCTCCTCCTTCTGTACCCCCACACCCCCTCCCTGGATTTCATGCATTGTGTAGTAAATGTTAAGGCCTATCTGGTCAAGCTTTTGTATCCAGATGTCTCTTGGTGCAAGTTCATCCACTGGAGTGTAGTGAGCCTGCCTAGAATCACTCCTTTAAAGAAGATCTACTCTCCCTCACCCAGCAGTCATCAGATGCCAGTAGTTCCTTGGCTAAGGTTGGGGCCTGCTGCTCATTTCTCTAGTTCTATGCTGAGGTTTCGTCAGCATGGGTTTTGTGTGTGCTGACACTTGCTGCAAGTTCATAAGTTTCCAAAGGCCTGAAAGCCTATGCTTCCTCGTGCTCGAGCCGACCCTGCCTCAGGGTCTCTTGTTGCTCGCTCACTGCTGCACGCACCACACCAGCTGCCCATGAGCATCGCCTCCCAGCTCTCCATGGGGCACACTGAGATTATTCACGCGCCGCTGCATCTGGCTTTTATATGGGTTCTGGGAATCAGGCTTGTGCACCAAGAGCTTTGACTCACTGAGTCATCTCCCCAGCCCTGGAAGAGAAGTTTCTAAGAACTTCAGGGTAGCTTTGTTTGCATGTGGAGATGCCCTCTGTGAATGAGCTGTGCCGAGTTTACAGTTTGGTGGAAACTGACCTTGAGGGTTGACATTCTGGCTGAGGCCCACGGCTTTCTTCTTCATTATTTCATTTATTCCCCACATCCAGGTAAAGAATGCACAAGATTTGGGAGAAAAAGTGGAAAAACCTGGTTTTAGTACTCAAGGAAGAGCACAGCAGGACTGAGAAACCCATACGCTTCTCAGCACTTACCCTCCAGCCTGTAGCTGAAGCCACACATGCCAGTGCCCTCAGAGTGGACCAGATGTACATCCACCCATCAGTGAGAAGTCTGGGTGTCATGTATGTACCATGTGTGCATGTGTGTTTGAACATGTAGATGGCAATGCACCTAGCACTTATAGATTCTGAGATGCAGTCCATGTGTAGTCCTACATGCCAGTCAGACCTTCCTGGAGCGAGGGAGCTCTCTGCAGGCCAGTGTGTGCTGTTCTAATCGCTGTCAACTCTGTAAGGTCTTAAGCCTGTTTCTCTTCTTCCCCCAGTGAGTTTTCTCTGTCTGTTCCATACCACCTAGCCTTTCCTCTCGTTCTAAGGGTGATTTGGGAGTGGAAAGCCGATATACTGAAGTGGCCACTTCTCACCCTGTAGTTTTTGTTTCAGTGCCTGACTCAGAAATGTTTCTGTTCAGATGGCCTTGTGAGCCAGATGCCCCACATTTTACATTTTTCCTCAGTCTTACATAGCATATTTATATCTTTTATGGATTTTCAGTGCTCTCCATGCTACCTGAAGACTCCAAGTTACAGAGCTTGCTCCAGATACCAACAAGCCCATTAAAGAAATTCATCCTTTCAATTCTGTTTCTCTAGAACCACTCCTGGTACCACAATGTGTATTAGTCAGGGTTCTCTAAAGAAACAGAGCCAGTAGAATGTGTGTGTGTGTGTGTGTGTGTGTGTGTGTGTGTGTGTGTGTGTGTATTTAGGGATTTATCAGATTAGCTCACAGGATAGAGTCCGAGTAGTCCTACAATGGCTGAACCACACTGGAGAGGCTGAACATCTGTTGGTCATTGAGTCCACAAGGCTGGATGTCTCAGTAGTCCCAATCTGGCGCTGAAGGTCTGACAAATTCCAAAAGATTAGCTAGTCTTCAGTCTACAGCAGCAAGACGAACTCACCAGCAAGAGAGAAGGCAAGCAGCAAAAAAGCTCCTCTGCCTTGGCCTTTTATACAGGCTGCCATCAGAAGGTAACACCCACATTTAGGGTGTGTCTTCCAATTTCAGATGATTCAATCAAGAAGGTCTCTCATTTCACTTAATCCCAGATCTAGTCAGGTTGGCACCCAGGATTAGCCATCACACCCAGCAAATGTTCTCCCTGGCATCACTACAGCAGTATGGGAACTGCACCCAGGCACACTAGAGCCATGCAGTTGCAATGCATGATGGGGCAGGTATAAGAGAATCACTGTCATGGGGGTGGAACCAACCCTGAACACCATGTCTGCAGGACAAGGGAGCCAAGTTCCTCAGCTCCAGCTCATCCTGGCCTTTCGGAAATGAAGGCAGGGCCACGGATGCTCAACCCAGTCACCGAGAAACTGAAAGCTCAGATTCTGCAATCTCTTTGGTGAATGGTGCTTCTGGCAGACCCAGTGTTGTCATCTCCATCGTTGGAATGATGAGTTTGAGAATGGTAGCGGTTGTGCTAGAGATGATTTTGTCTAAGCAAAAACTGGATCGGTGGAAGGGGCACGTGAGCTTGCGATTCCCCATGTAATAGGGAGCGTGGGGGAGGGGAAGGGAGGCGCTTCAACAGGTGTAAAATTGCATTTACACCAGGTGAAGTTCTAGAGTTCTACCAGAAAACATCGTGCCTAAAGTTAGCATTACTATATACTTAAAAAATTGTTAGAAATTTAGATTAATGCTAAAAGATTCTAATGCACTCAGGCTCAGAGCACTAGGTTACCTGAGACCTGCTCCATGGTTTCTGTGGGAATTGTGACTTTTCAACATCTTGTTTATAATACTCTTCCTTTGGGGTACCGATTATGTAAAATGTACCAAATCTGGGCTCAGTATTAGAAAAATGAATGTGATCTTGTGTTTTCCAGACACAGTAGCACCCACTTATCTGTGGGAAGTGTATTCCAGGACCCCAGAAGATGCCTGAAACCTCAAGTATCACCAGACAGTCTGTTTATATGTCTACATACCTATGATAAAGCTTAATTTGTAAATTAGAGACCAGCAAGCAAGCAACAACTATGACATAGAATGTTATGGCAATACACTAAATAAAATTGCCACATCAGTGCTTTGGCACTTCGGTCATTGTTAAGTATAATAAGGCTACAGGAATGCAAGCACTGTGGTACAGAACACGTGATTTGACAGTAGACAGCTGCTGTTTGATTGACAGATGGGAAGCAGGTCCACATGTTGATACCCTGGACAGAGAGGCGATTCATGTCCTCAGTGAGATGGAATGCTTGGCTGGAGATTGCATCACACTACTCAGAATGGTGTACAATTTGAAACTTACGAATTGGCTTTTCTGGAATTTTCCATTTAATATTTTTGAAGTATAGTTAGATTTTAAAACATGATAGCCATTTAAAATCCTACCATGCTTTTGCATCTAGCCAGAGTGGGAAAGATGGCTGGTTTTGTTGCATCATTAGTGCTCAAGGCCTTGTCCCCAGAGCAGCATTGAGGAGGTTAACTAGTGTGAATTCTCAGGCCCTGCTCCAGCCTCCAGAAGGTATTAAGTAAGGTCAAAGATGCTAGCATAGGAAAAGAATAGATGTGTGGTCCACATGCAGGGTAGCAAGATAAAGTGTTGGCTATGTAGCTAACGGCCAGCAGGATAAAATGTCGGATATGTACCCAAAGCCATAATGGACAAGATGAACAACAGCTCATGAGTTTAGGTAGGAGTTTTGCTTAATAGGCACTTCCTAACTTTGTGATGGTCCTGATACCTTTGTCAAATAACTTGTTTGGAAGAAATTTCTGTTCTTTTCACAATCAAAGCTGGGTGGAGGGACAGAGAGCTGGCTCAGTGGGTAAAGGCACTTTGCCACCAAGCCTGGTGTCCCGAGTTAAATCCCCTGGATGCTCTTGGTGGAAGGAGAGAACTGACTCCACAAGTGTTCTCTGGTCTCCACACATGAACTGTGACCTGTGTGCATGCACACATATAAATATAATTTTTAAAAGCAGTTAATCTTATTTCGATGGAAACATAGAATGTAGTCTGAAGATCTTGTGAGGTCTTGCATCAAATATTTACACACTAAGACACTAAGAAAAGGTCTCTGCATTGTCTTAAGGGTACTATGAGATTGCATCTGATAGGGCGTGTCTTCGTGGTTTTGTTCATCACAATAATGTGGGCGGCATTAACAGTGTGAATGGACTGGAGACCTCTGACTGAAAAGTTGCTAAATTGAGGTTCTCTGTTCCCTGTGTTGTTTCCTTTACTCAGGCAACCCCTGAATGACAGCCTCAGTGTCATTCACTGATTAGTCTGTTGTGGAAACCTAATATTAGGAGACTAGAGAGCACTGCTAATTCAAAATACTCCATTTGAACCTGTTGATTAACCTCTTTCAGAAAAAATTTGCTTAAGATAATCTTAAAGAGTAACAAAGCTGGCTTATGAGTTCCATTTGCTTACTTTCCTAGGTAGAAAGGAGGCCTAAGGGGGAAATGGCATAGAAAGCCCTGGGGGTTGGGCTGAGAACAGTAGGGCCCAACTCATGGGAAGACTGATCGTCAGTCTTGGATTAATTAAGGTTCTGTTCTGTGGGACCTACAGGACAGGCACCTCCTTTAAAGAGAAAATTCAGGGCTGGAGAGATGGTTCAGCAGTTAAGAGCACTGGCTGCTTTTGCAGAGGACCCAGGTTTGATTCCTAGCACCCATATGGAGCCTAACAACCATCTGTAACTCCAGTTCCAGGGGATCCAATGCCCTCTTTTGACCTCCATGGGCATTGCATGACGTGGGTGCATT